CCAAATTTGATTAAAGTAGGGGGGGGATTGGTGCTCAGAGTCGACGATAAGCATGGCACAACAAGGACTGATTTGTACGTGTATAGTTCAAGTGTTTCATTAAAATGTTAAAACAACTATTATTTTCTGTTCTTGCACTTAATCATAAAACATTTAGATTTTCTGGTAAGTGACTTTTGAATAAAGCTCTTTAGATTATATTTTCATTAATGTGATTAACATCCTAGCATTATTTGAAAGGACTGCATCACTTGCCACTTTTCTTTCCAGAATTTTAAACAAAAATAATTTTGTCTTGAAGAATGATCAAGTTGAGAATCAGCATCTCCAAATACGATGCCATGATCTTCAGGCGGAAAAGGGTGGATTGTTCTCTTCAGGTCGAGGGGGAGGTTCTGCCTCAAGTGCAGGAGTTCATGCATCTCTGGTTTTGTTCACCAGTGAGGGAATAATGGAGCGTGAGATTGACAGACGGATTGGTGTGACATCTGCAGTATTGCGGACTCTGTGCTGGTCCATTGTGGTGAACAGAGCTGAGCTGTAAGGCAGAGGTCTCTGTTTACTGGTCAGTCTACGTTCCTACCTTCACCTATGGTCATGAGCTCTGGGTGGTGACTGAAAGAATGAGATCATGGATACAGGCGGTTGGAACGAGTTTCCTCTGCAGAGTAGCTGGACTCTCCATTATAGATAGTTTGAGAAGTTCAGTTATCAGCAGAGCTTCAGAGTAGAACCACTTCTCCTCCACATCGAGAGGAGCCAGTTGAGGTGGTTCAGGCATGTCTGACTGGGAGGAGACTCTGGGGAAGACCAAGGACACACTGGAGAGGCTACATCTCTTGGTTGACCTGAGGGCACCTTGGGGTCCTCCCAGAAGAGCTGGAAGAGGTGGCTGTGGAAAGAGATGTCTGGACTTCCCTGCTTGAGCTGCTGCCCCCAAGACCTGACTTCAGAACAAGCAGAAGATGGATGGATGGATGGATGGATGGATGGATGGATGGATGGATGGAT